AACAACCTAACAATTTTTTTTGGATTGCCTTTCAAATTTGATCAATGTAATCTAGACACATTAGGTGATCAAAAGTTAATCAAAATATTTACTGTGCGTCAAACGGTTGTGTCCATGGCGTGGCGCTCAATTTCCAAGTTTCGCAGTGGAGGGTCTCACTATGAACGCAGAAGTCTTTATGTACGGTGTCTGAAACGCATGACGACGTAGAGTGGTTTCCTCGGGCTTCCGGCGATGAGGGCTTGGGCATGGGCGCGACGTGGTGTGGTGCGGCTGCAGCGGGCAACCGCCGTGCAGGCCCTGACGTGGGGAAATGGCGAGGTCCCGCCCCAACGCTGCTTGCAGCTTTAATTTATATTATAGCTGAACATTCATCATTGTCAGCTTGTTAGCAGGCTGATGCTAACAAAGTAATGGGGGGGCGACCAGCTTGCATACTGTAGAGGGATAACAGTGCACCCTCTTGGATTGGTCTCTCCTTGAAGGCATTCATGATGTGGGCACTGTTCGACAAACTGACAGGCATTTCCTTTGAAGAATATGAGGCCTTTAGTTTGCATACTTTTATATAGGTGATCAGATTTTGTTTTGAAATTTTAATTAACACATACTTGCATGCAGCCTATTGATCACTCTGTTATGTTTCCAGGTATTGATGACAGCTTCATCCATGGCGGTGACCTTAAGGTTTTTAAGAAGCGGCGGCACAGTGCTCGAGCCCCACACCTTCTCCTCATGCTGCTGCCTTCATACCGGCTGGAGTCCCAGTCCCAGTCCCCGCACAAGAACCATCGATCCAAGAGAGCCCTGGATGCTGCCTACTGCTCTAGGTATTAACCCGACATTCACAGTCTCACTGCGTAATTCCACCGATCGCTGCCCTTCTAGACAATGCTTGTGATTCCACCAGAAGGGGCGCACACATTTCAGTAGTGTCCCAGCATGCGCTCCCTGCTCTGCTACACAGAGAATTATGTTGGCTAGTCTATTTTTCGACAGAAGCCATGTCAAGCACACAGGAACAGCCATTATAGAATCTTTTTTTTTTTTTTTTTAATTTTCAAAATAAAACATCCTGTGCAGACTCCCAATCATAAAAACAGACAAAAGATACCCTCTTACTTCACAGCCTACTTGGCCATGGTAGAAGCACAGAAATCAATGAAAACTATTTATGTGTGATTCATGCATGAAGGTGAATCATCAGGGATCACTAAAGATACCAACATGCATATTACACTACACCAAGTGTTGCAGGTGGCGCAATATCCTAAACTTCATTGACTTAGCCATCGCATTTGATGTCTTAATCGTACCTTGCCACTGTCGCCAAGTGCTTGCTCATGGTGGGAATTGTTGGGTCTCTGTAGGACTGTTTTGCTATTTGACCTGTATTGTATAGTAGCCTATATTGTGAGGTTTTGACATGTGGAGGTTTGATGCGGTCATTAGCTGATTGTTATATATCAGATGTGACAGTAAGCAATTAGGCTGTTGCAGCTATGAATGTTTCTTAAAAAAGTGAGCTCCTCAAAAGCCATGCTACAGTTAGCATACTGGTCAACGTCACAGACCTGTGTCCAATGGAATCAAGGAGTGAGTCTTATCACACACACGATGAAAGACGTCCAGTGACAGTGATTACTGTATGAGCTGTACTCCATGGCAACAGGACACATTCTGTGTCTATAGGCATAAAACTCTCCATGGGAAGCCACTGTATTGAAATCCCTCTGTGCATTAACAAGTGACAGCTGAGTAAAATCTTCCCACACAAACCTGAAAAAAATCTGGTCAGGAATCAAATCTATTTTAGCTGCAATCACATAGGAATGTCCATCATATTAGAGGTAAACATCATTAAGATAATGGTTGAGATCTGGGGACAGAAATTATCACTTGAATACTTGACAGGTCCCAACAAAATCAGGTTAGAGTCAGGTTTGTGGTGTACAGCTTCAGGCTTGTCTGGTTTGGTTATTTTCAAACGTAATTTATTAAGAAATGGTTTCTTTCTCTCTCTAACTGTGCCAATCATTTCTACTGCACCACAGTTCACCTTCCCCCTTTGTCTCTTTGTAGAAACGTTCAGGACAACTGCTGCTTACGCTCACTCTACATCGATTTTAAGAAGGACCTGGGCTGGAGGTGGATCCATGAGCCAAAGGGCTATGAGGCCAACTTCTGTGCTGGGGCCTGTCCGTATCTGTGGAGTGCTGACACACAGCATTCCAAGGTAGTGTATGAGGGACAGGGTCAAAGGTTAAACAAACTGTGGGGCGGGTTGTGGCTCAGAGGAAGAGCAGGTCGTCCACTAATTGGAAGGTTGTTGGTTTGATCCC